GAGAAATATTATAATTATTATTATTTTTATTTTCATTCCCTTTAATTTGTGTTTTTCTGTTGTTCCACGTATCTGTGGTAACAACTTCTCAGGACGCTGAGTAACTCCTAGTCCAGACAGTCCCGTTTGTAGCAATTTCTTACTACACTTTTCCAATTTTGAATTACTTTCATCGACTTTCGGAAACCATTTGATTTGTGACCATCGAATCCATTTGAACAATTGCTTCAATCATCTAGATTCAATCTTGATTTTTGCCACTCACACACCCCGGGGGTCAATGTCACCGAGTCTTATAATTCAATCGCAATATTATTTTGTTGATTCAACAAAGGTGTCGGCTGCTCTCAAAAATATTCCTGTTAACGGCGACTCCAAAGACTATTTGCCCCTAAAGATCTTAAAGTTATCCATTCCTCCATGTGTGCGGCTACAAATATTATAAACTGACAGCAGAGAGAACACACAAAGCTCAATGAAATGAAGTTTGGCCGCGCAACAATCGAATGTGCCCCAAATAATTACCAAAGCTGCAGCTGGCAGCACACACAATGCTCCGGAGTCCGGACACTGCTGCTTATCCGAGATAAGTCCTGCACCCAGGACTTAGCGGCGCTGGCTCTAAGCTATGCCAAATTGCCAGCACCAACACCAAAAATAGGAAAGAAACAGCGAACAGAAAACAAATAAATGGACGAAGCTGGTGGCACTGCTGAAACTGTTAGCTGATGCCATTCAGCGACAAATTTAATGGCCAGCTTTGCCGAGGATTGTCTTTGACGTGTGACACGTGGCGTGTGGGGTGAGGACAGCGGCTAAAGCTGCTGAAAAGTCGTGGCGAGATAAACGATCAAAAACTAATAGAGAATCGAACCTTAATTGTCTTGCATTATGGATGGTAAGTATTAAAGAATTTATATATAAGCTATATATTATAGGAGTTTGGCACAGAGAAGAGAGAATTCTCGGAGATGGTCATGCGAACAATGGGGAAAAGAGACTGCAAAAATCATATTCCCGCTCTAGGCTGCGAAAGGTCAGAAGAGAGAAGCCAGAGTGAGAGGGAGAGAGCGATACTATGGCACAGCAAATGTGGAGTAGCATAGATGCTTCTGCGTCGGAGGAAGTATGACCTGAACACAGAAGCAAAGATGGCATTGCTCAGTTAGAGCATTTTCGATTGTTCCAAGGTGGATCTTTGTATTCGTCGCACGCATCTACACAGTAAATCTAAGAGCTCAAGGCCAAACAGTACTCGAATTATGCTTGAAATACTAAATCAAATTATCGATTATTGTCGATAAAAAGATATGGGATGACTTATCAAAATTTATATACGTTAACATTAAACCATCAATATTGTTTTTTTTTTTTTTTTTTTTTTTTAAATTCAAATGTAAATAAAACACAAACAACCTTCTCGATGAGGTAATTATCAATATAGTATATTGAACATAACTAACAAAACTTATACATAAACTGAAAAAACTCGAAATTTTCCATTACTTTAATATTAATATGCATATATGAAATATATATAAACTCGTACTGCATATGCATGTATAATTTCAAGTCACTAGCTTCATATGTTCTAAGATGTCTAGAACTCATACGGACAGAAGAACGGACGGACATGGCTGGATCAACTCAGCTCCTTGCCTTGATCAAGAATATATATATTTTATAGCACGCCTCCTTCAACCTACTACAAGCATGTCACAGGATTTCCAATTTTCAATGGGTTCAGGGTATAAAATGTATCCTCAATTAAATATTTCAGACTCAGTTGGCAGTGTAAAGGTAACAAATGCAAATTGAGAATTGAACTTGAAGTCAATGCATAAAAATGTTCAACTGATCCTTGGTGCAATTACTTAGCTTAGCAGTAAATAGAAGCTGCTACGCAGAAGAGGGGGGGAAGAGTGGTGGCTCAATCTGATGTCCTTTGGAGGCGGCAGCGGCTTCAGCTTCAGTTGCATTGATAAATTGTGTCACAGGTGTTTGACTGACTGGTTGAATGTCATTCGAACTGAAAGCTCGAGCGATTGACGAGATTGTGGCATTGAAGGCGCTCGACTGAAGGCTGAGGAAACAAGCGAGTGCCATTCAGTGGCTACATATGTCTAACAGAGAGAGAGAGAGAGAGAGAGAGAGGCAGAGAGATTGGGAGAGGGAGAGAGCGAGAGTTGAAATAATTGCTTGTGCGCGGCACGTGTTTGGCGGCAAGGTGTCATCAATCAAATGCGAGTGAGAAGCTAATCAATTGGCGTTGCTAAAAGCTAAAAACAAAGCCAACAGGCGAGCCCAGGCGACAGGCTGGCTGAGCTGATCCTGTGAGGTATGTGCGGAGCGTGGCAACTGCGGCACGTAGCCAATTTGCTGGGT